TCTCCTGCAATCTGTGAGCAAACACGAGGCATTCATACTGTAGCGCATGGTCCGGTGCATTTAAGTACGTGCTCTGGCTGGACGTTTTCTCTTTCTCCTTTCTCGTTACTTCAGACACCCTGACCTCCCGCTCACGGGCATTTGTTTAATCACGGCTCTTTTTGCCAGTCTCTCCTAGCACGTCTCAGCTCTGCTATGCGTGTACTGATCGCGATTTGTTTCTACTTCCTCTTATCCTTTTTCCACCCACAAACGCAAGGGGGCGCTGTGGTGCGTGCTTCAAAGGCGCGCTGGGGGTACTCTACCTCCATCTGCGACTCTCTCCGTCATGCCATCCTTTCTCTCGGCTTGGCTCGGCTTGCCCACGTGTCTGGCTTCCGAGGTATGCAGCCTCCCCACGTGGTGGCTGCCGGCACGAGCTCACGATGCGTCTGCGAGAGCTGTGCTCGTGTACGACATAAAAAAAAAAAAAAAACAGTACCGATGTCTGGGAAGAGGATGCACAGCCGACACCCTTCTTTTGCGTCTGGCGGCCAAGAATCCGGGACCATCCATTTCGGTCTTAAAAGGAGCGCGCACACATCGTGACGCTTTTTTCCTAACCATTCGCCTCTTGTTTCGGTTTTGAATGCCGCAACCCTCACTTGGTTGAATATGACGTATGCGCCTATGGCGCCTATAATTCACCCCCTTTGGTTTATTGCTTCTCGTTTTGGTTCCTAATCTATACTCTTCACTCCCTTTAACACTCCTTCACAGCCCACGCGAAGGAGTGTTCAAGGGAGTGAAGAGTAGAGATTAGGAACTATACTAAGACTTATTCGGAGGTTGTGAGGGGGCATGTGGGTGGGCACATGATGCTGCTTGGCAGTGAGGAAGCCCTTTGCCGATATGAATTCAGGATAAAATAATGAAAGAAAGGATGTGCCTGCGTCAATGACCGAGCGTACGCATTGTAATTGTTGTGTTTAGTTAGGTTTAGGGACCGGTCTTCGAAGCGTAGTAATGGCTGCCCGCACTTTCGCGAGGGCGTGACTCGCAGCGCCACCTACCGGTGCACGCCACACACCGCCAGCGTGCTTCAATCCTATGTCGCCCAACCGGAAAGCGTCGAAATGTTAGGTAGCGAAATGAGGGTTGAGTTTTTACGAGTGCTTAAAAACTCGATCGCCGGTATAAAAATGATGCAACTTTTTTTTTTTCATTCAAGGCCTAGCTCCCTTTCGTGGTCTATGATCGTTGTTTTCAACGGAGCGGATGTCAGAATCGAAATTTGTTGTTTGTTTGTGGGTTACGCTAATAATGAGCAAGTCTAAGGGACTTTGGACTCACAGCAGTGGACAAACAGGGGAGTTCAGCAGGGCAGTCCAGAATATCTTGCGCGTGACACACGTCGAAGCTGCAACAAACAATGAAAAAAAAAGGGCATTGTGAAGATTTGGGAAGAAAAGTGTAAGAGAAAAAAAACTATAACAAGACCTATTTTTGTACACAAATACTGTGAACAGGTCCTCGGACTTGCCGGGCATTAAGACGTCAACTCCCATGAACTGAAACGCTATTCGAACGTCACGGGCTGAGGGTCTCATTGCGCAACCATGCGGGAGAGCTTGAACGGCGGTTAAGAGGCGGCAATAAAAACGCAAGGGTCATTAAACAGTGTTCAAAGGCAAGGGGGGCACGACAAAATGGAAACATGCTTCTCAAACGCGCCGACTCAGTCAACAACTTGCCGCACCCCCTCGGCCGACAACAATGCCGCCCTGTGTACACTGCTTATCACGGCGGTTACACAACGCCCGTGACCAGCGCCAAAGCACCCCCCCTTCCTCTTGCAGGGCTTCCAGATATGCCACCTTCCTCCCTTCTGCCTGCGCCGAAATCGCTCCGTGACAGACCAGTGAAACGTTTAGCAGTCCGTTTAGCGCAACAACGGCAAGCTCGGAAAGTCTCACCGACAGCAGCAACTCGATTCCGTGTTCCGTGCATCGGTGGAAAAAAAAAAAGGAGGCGAGTAGTTCGGCAGGCGGTAAGCATGTGCATGCAGAGTTCCTGTAAGAGCGTGCTAGGCCTAACAGCGTTTAAAATGGCTTACTTATAAAGTGTACATGGACAAAACCGAACGCAAGACCTCCTCTTCCATTTCATTTGGAGGTTCGACCACTGCCGCATCCGGCACACGCGCTGCTTCACGCGGAAGAACGTATTGGGCGTACGCAGTGTGCTCAGTGGCGGTCACGGTTCAAAAATTGGAACGCCCCGCCACCGTACTGCACGCAACTCCGGCGCGGAGTACGGCGTGAAGCGGCGGCCCGATCGCGCACGTAATGGTCGTTGCAACAGTGCGAAGAGCAGGCGGTGCGATGCGCGCGAGACCGTGAAATTGTCGTAATGGAGTCGTGTGTTGGTGTTGTGTGTATGCTTCGCTTCATTTCTCCGCACTTCACTTCGCCGCCCTTTCGTGCCCCTTCTTGTTTCCTAAGCGGCGATATCGGGCACCGTTGCGCCGCACTGGTCACGGATCATTGTGCTTCCGAGCCTCCCTCTTTCTTAAACGGGAACGGATGCTTGCTGGCCAGCTCACGTCTTTCGCATCAAGTGAGGATCAACCCGCATTGTGCCTGCGCCGTCCTGAACGCTCGTTTTATGAGCGCGGGGGCGGTGATGCCGGTCTCGTTTATTGTACGCTAGCATTTGGCTTTGCCTTATCCATTTTGTTTTTCTCTTCGTGCATTCCACTTCATGCCTGTTTTACACAGTTGCGCGTATAACGGCTCGTGTAGTGCGAAGATGGTTCCACCGGCGTCACTCTGACCGACCGTTCCTGTAGGCCGTTGATTCTCTCCTCTTTTGTATCGAAAGAGCTACACAGTAAAATGGCATGTATCCTTGAGCGTTTGTTTGGTAAACGACGGCGACTTTTTATGGGTAATCACTGGTGTCAGGCTTGGTATGGGTAGTGGCAAGTTTAGGAGACAACGTTTGTGTTGTTGCCACTGTTGTCGTCGCCATAGATGTTGACATTTGTTCTGCGTAACATTTTGCTCTGTATAACATGATGTATAACACTGACATCGATGGAATGATCTCCTTGATGTCTAGTTGATTTTCACTCGCTATCTTTACGTGCATTTGCACGCGCATACATCTTAACGTGCTATATGCACGCCATGCACTATTGATCGCTTCGAAATCGATCAAATCGCTGGAAACCAGTTTTAGGCCTATATTGACACTTGGTGTACACCGGACTTCAGAATTTGAAAGAGGTTTGCCTTCCTTCGTGAGGTTGTTTCTTTTCATTACAGTATGCTGGCAGCGCAATGAACAATATATTTTCCTTCACATTCAAAACGAAAGTCAACATTTTCGGCACCTCTTCTGGTCACTCAAACGCGTCCTTTTGTCTTTCTTTCCTTCTAGAGATTTCTTATTTAGAGTTTTGTTCTTGTCGTCATGAACTGCGTACCTTCATTTGCACAATGCTGGGCACGACTGCCCGGTTAAACGACTGATGCGTATCGAATAAAACAAAATGAGAGACAGACAGCAAACGAACTGGAAAATGATTCGCCGACATCCTCTCGTATGATTACTTCGTACGGTTAGTACTCTCAGCCAGCCTCTTAATGTAGTTGTGAGTGCACGTGCTTATAAACACGGCACTCGCATCTCACCTTACGTTTAAGCTCAGGCATCGTCAACCTCCCAAAAAGAAACCAGAAGGGCGATGCCAGGCATGCCAGTGACGTCTCCGCTGCGTGCCCTTAGACTTATGATCTTGTCACTTTCCTGTGCTCTCTTCATCCGCTCGGTGTCAGCCAGTCACGATAAACCCTCTCTTCTCTGACAAACTGCTAATGTGCGCTTGCGTGTGGTCCGTTGCGGACGACAAAAAAAAAAAAGGAATTAAAGAAAGAAGCGAAGAGAGGCGGCGGCATCCTGTCGCAACTGTGACCCTTTCAGACCGTTGGGGCACGCGATTGCATTTTGACGGCTTTATAAAACGCGTCGAATGCCACGGGGCGCAAAAGTTGTGGCGCGAGTCGCTCGGCGAAAAACGACTTCAGAAGCGTTGAAAATGCGTTCTCTCTCGCTCTGTTAGTAGAGGTGACGCAGTGGAACTAGAGAGTCATTGTTAAAACTTGCATTTAGCGGGGTCGCAATGCTGCGGCGTTGTCGGGGAATGCGACAGCTATTAGCATCACCACTGCGCCACCCGCCACACCAGCTTAGAGAAAGAAAGCACCACAAACCATCTCCGCGACCGCATAACCTCTGAATCATCGTCTTCGGACGACGTCGTGTAGGGTTAACGACCACGATGCGAAGAAGGCTGGAGACGTTGGCAGGCAGGAGTGGAAACCCCTCCTCCGCCTCACTCTGGTGTCTCCAAGTGTGGCCGTCAAAATAATCTGTCCCGGCCTGCCTTTTTTTTCCGCGTCAGCTGCAGAAAGCATCAATAAAGCTTATCTGCATGCTACGAAATGAAAATTATAAGTGAACTCCAGTTCGCTGTTACACGACGTCGTAATCTGTTCACTGAGGTAGACTGTGTAACGAAGTGACGTCACCGAAGTGCTGTGAAGGATTTTGTGTTAGAGCCAGTGTGGAATTCCGTTTTTTTTTGTATGCCTCTCATATCTATCTTTAGTAGTGATAACTATGCCAATGGATGATACCTCAGCTGTATTGAATACGTGCTGTGAAACATTGTACTGGCGAACAAGGACACAGACAGAATACTAGGAGACATACTGGCGCTGCGTATCTCTTCTTGTACTGTCCGTGTCTTTGTTCGCCAGCACAAGTGTTTCACGGTATTCGGCAGAACCAACTAGAACAACTGCGAACGCTCAGTGCTGAATACTCTCCAGCGTTGGGTACGATATGCCGAGTTGTACCAATCTGAACATTGCCTGATAGCTAACTATCCTTGTCCCGCAACTATACAAGACTTGTGTCTAAAGCGCTCGCTTCTTTCCGTTGTTTTTGTGCAGAATTCGAGTTCATCCTGTCGCCAGCGTCGATGATCGCCGCGGCGAGCATCAGTATGGCCGTCTGTGGCCTAGTCAAACTCAACTGGACCCAAAAGAAAGAGGTGCTGCAGAGGCTTCACGACGTCACCAGTATAGAAGTGGTACGTAACCATATCAATATATATAAAGAGAGTTCCTTTTGTAGGCCTTCTTCTGTCATGTTGACACTTCGAGCCAAATCACAAAGGTCCGCAGTGACCCCTTTAGCCAATCGGAGGTGCCAAGACGGCGCACTCAGCAAATGTGGAAGTCAACGGCGTTCACAGTACATACGTTCATTCTTATTTTCCCTGAATTAACTCGTAATTGCAGTTTTTCCTTAGAAGCACGTCCTCGCTCAGCCCGACGCAGGAAGCCCGCGATAAATTATAGTACACGTACTGGTCTCATCTGGCGCGACGAAGTGAATTCTGGGCACTCTAAGAACGTTTCGGTTTCGAATTTCCCGGCCTAGTCAGCAACATCGTTGCGTGTACGCCGCGTTGCAATCTCGGCAGCCTCATTGAAACACGGCAAACTATTTCGTGGAAAGTAAAAAAAAAAAACTCTCCGCTTCTCGTTCTTCACTTCTCGATTTGCTGCCCGGTTGCAGGAAAGACGTGCGTTGCAAGCAATGTAAAACGACAATATTTTACTTTCCAACGCTGACAAGGCGAGGTCAGTGCATCTTATTAACTTTTTTTCGTGTGTGTGTGTGTGTGAGGAGCGTGCCTACAGCTTTGAAGAAGCAGACACGAATGTTTGTAAGTGTGTGTGTATATATTCGCGGTTCAAACCGGTTCAGCTGTTATTGCGGCAGTGCTTCGATTCAAAGAAGATCATTTGTCTTCTTTCAAGGTTAGCCGTCGCACTCCTTTGCTGTACCCGTTTTACTTTGTTTTCTTTTGATTCTCATTTGAACTCATCGTATATCTATGCACCTACATGCGGGCGCATTACAACCAGAGTGTGAAGAAAAAGTATGTCAATCACCAGTGTGTTGCGAAAATAAGTTGCCCGCCGGAAAGAGCTGTTGCGTTTGATGTCACTGCGGTGAGACGGACGATACTGCGGTTTCTACCGGCAGCTGCGGAAGATCTATATGCTCTTACGAAAGATATCACACCTGTCCGTGAAACACACATCTTACGGATTACAGTGCACGCGGCGCAGGCATGCCGCCACCTGGTGAAGCTTAAATCAACTAGAATACGACAAAACTTGTAGCTAAGGTACGTTCCTAATTTATATGCTTACGATCATTGCAGTACGAGAGCCACATTTACTGCCCCACACGGTTGGTTTCAGGTGCTGCGAACCGTTATGAGGTACAGCATGAGCCGACGGCCGAGCAATAATCGATAGCGGGTCCCAATCCAAACGTAAATGCCTGTCGTCTTCTCGGACCCTTGCGACTCGACCCATCCATACCTCTCGATATAAATAGATAAATAAACTTTTTCCACTACTACTTCCGGGCAGCACTTGCCGCTGATGAAAGTGCTCTCAGAAAGAACAATGAAGGGTACTCAGGGACCGTCAGTAAGCTGAGATTGTGCAGTGCGAGATGTATAAGGTGCGAAGAAAGAAATTTAAAAGAGAAGAAATGCAAAAGAAAAGTGAGCTCGTAGCCAAAGACAACCCCCCGCTTCAGAAGCCTTGACGGCCTTGCCCTGGCTCTTCCACCGCCGGTTTTCGTAGTGCGGGGATAGTATACTGCGAAACAGGATGAACACCGGCGCCATGGTAGAACCACCACTATAAAAAAAAAGGCGTCACTGCGACGGCAACTGGACACCGCGCACGCAGCTAAGGGTGAGAATGCGATCGAATGTAGTTGGTGTCTAATAGGACTCGGCGAGCCGCTGTGTGCAAGAAAGCAAGCTAGTGAGCCAGCAAGAAAAGCGGTGGTTTGTAGACCATGTGGAAAGGCACTGACAGAGGATGAGGCTTCTACTTGCGGATGGCAGCGGAGTGCTGTGCGTGTGTTTGTTGTACTCCGCCGGTGGGGGCCGGTGCCGACAGCATTCTTGGCTTTCGGCGCCAATGGCTCTCGCGCTTCGCTTTCCAGAAGGAAGAAGAGTCGGACAGAAGGGACGTTGAAAAGAGAAGCGCAAACGGCGCTCCCGGTTGGTTCCTCGAAAGAGAGCCGACCCTCTGTAAACCCCACCCGCCTCTCCACTCCCGCCAGCCTTGTTTCCGTGCGCACATTTGTCCGTTCCGTGCATGCATGCAGCGAACGCGCTTTCGGGTAATCTTTTTTCGCCAACGTTAGTGCATTGCGCCGTATAATTCTGTTTCCGTGCACTGCTTAGTTTCGGGGAGTAGAACCGGCCTAGAAATTGGCATTCAATTTGTTAACTCTCCACCTTAACTTGGTGCCAGAAAGCGAGCAATAGTCATAATGAAACGTAGCTCTTCTTTTTTTTTTTCTCGAAGGTACTCCCAAATGCTTCTTCAGGCCTACGTTTTCGGTAATCCTTGGCACTCCACACACTACTAAGTTCGCATGTTTGCGGCTCGTTAATAAATAAAACTTCCTTCAGAGAACGTCATTGTATCAGTCCATTAGCTACACTGAAAGCATGAAGACGTGTTGGAGATACTTTTTGTTGCTAATAAACAGAATATTGCAAAGTCTGCAGCGTTTCATACGTTGATTAGTACAAGAGGTCCGGCTTCTATGCTCCACATACAGCGCCCGCTTCTCGACGAAGCATCCATAGCAATCGGTATATCCTTTGTTTAAAAATCCCCAGGGAATCAGTTTATTGATCAATGCCGCTCTAAAATACCCTTCTTTTAGTTAGCGCAAGAAGCTGTTGGTATTCGAGAAGTTGATATCCGAAGTATCAAGCTTGACACGACGCTTGGGGCGCACAGGGCCTCGAGAGTCCCGGCTGCAACATCACATTCTGACTTTATTACCAGAAGTACATATAAGTGGTGTGACCACGGTAAACTACCATTGCATCGCCACGATGACGTGTAAATTCCGCAATATCAGCCCGGCGAAAGATCAGACAGGGTCTACCGCATTAGCCAGAGGGCCTTGAAAATAGGATGGTGAGAATTTCTCGGGGGTGCGGTGAACTTCCAATGTTCACCGCGCCCCCGAGCTTCCGCGGGCGACGTGTCCAGTTCTAATCACGTGACATGCGTCTGCAGCAGCAGCAGCCACGCGGGCCATTGGCTTTTGTCGCTATAGGGTCACGCTTCTTCTGAGCAGGGCGCGGCTTCTTGCTACGGCAGCTTGCCAATGCCAAGGGCACGTCGCCAAGGCTTGCGAACACGTGCACGTGTGCGTGCGCGGCACTCGCATGAGCAACTCAGTGGCGCCGCCGTTCGAGCTTTGTGAAACTTTAGAGCGCCTCTAAAAACAGGCACAGTGTTATTCTTTTCGGCATCTGTAAAACCTCCCCACCCTCTTCTCTGCGAATCTAGTCTGGCGGGCGTGGGGGGGCCCACATAACCTCCTCACGTAGTGGCAATACCCTCCCCTCTTCTCGACGAGCCACTTGCACCGCCACTTGCACCGCTGACTTAAAAGAAGCCCTGTGGGAAAGTTGTACTCATCACGTCACTGATAGCAATTACTTTCCCAAACAGCAGCCTGCACATATCGCTCCGCCTTCTTCGCTCTTTGCGTCGCCATCATTCTCTTTACTTGTCTCTCTTCTTTTATCCACGCAGCGTCCTCGCCCCTGCCTCCTCTCCATGTCTGGCGAACGGTGTTATTCATTCACCAAGCCTACATCTCTAAACAGGAGAGCCCACATTTGACGCGGGCGCAAATACACAAAAGACAAGCTCACGAAAATGGTGACGAGTGGCACACGAACCCAAACAAAACGCGGGGAGTTCTCGCATGACGTCGAAGGCATTAGCGTCCCTCACGCGCTCTCTCTTATGAACGCTAACTCTTTCCACTTCAAAAACTCATTTCATTTTCCCCTTCCCCTCCAAACAGTGGAATGCCATGCTGTGGCGGTGCCAGACGCTCGTAAAACTCGAAACGACTATGCTCGGTTCCATGCTTTTATATCAGAGCTGTGTCTCCGATGCGGATGTGTGTCTTGTGGTTTCCCTCTCGCTCTGGCGAACTGATGTTCTCTCTTTCCTCACCACATTACCCTTTCTCTCTGCATAAGGCTGCATCTTTCGTGTTGCCTCGTGGTTTTTGTTTTAGCCATAACCTTGGGCATAATATAACTTACGAGCATCCTCGAATTTCGCCTCCAGGAGCAGATGATGCCGTTTATTGCTGTCGACCCAACGGATGTCACCGTGTCCACATCCAAAAAAAGAGTTATGGGCATTCACGCATCCCTAACTCGACATATGATAAATAGTCTTTGCAGCAGGAAGATCGCAACAGTGACACATCCAAGCTAGAATATACGAAGAGGGATGATGGACTTGAGCGGAAAAGATATTCTGTATATATTCGTGCGTCATATCGTGTGTCACGTATTCAGAAGAACTTTTTTTCTTCTAAGAGTGCTTGCCGCTTTCCAGCAAGGCCGGGTTAAGTTAGTTTTTTTTTTTCACACCCTCGAAAACCCTTTTACGCTTGTTAAGATTCTTACTAAGGGGCTGTTGGGGCACCCCTCTGCAGTTACTTGCCCCCTGCCAGCCAAGCACTCGCAGCAAGGCGTTGACGGGGGGCATTGACTGGCAAGATTGAAGACTCGGTACGCGATGTATGAGGTCAGCACATAAATAATTTTTCAGTGTGCTCTCCCCAACTAGGCTTGCAGAGAACCTCCGGGTGGTAGTCGGAATGAAAACGCAGTACCACACTGCAGTCGCTACGTGCCTTAAGCTTGACACGTAGAGACTGCGTTATTGATTTAGTTTCTTTGGTAAATGGTTGCCTCGGATGCGGATCATTGGCCGGTGAATACATAGCCTCCGCAATGCTCGTTTTGCAATACTGAGCATCTGGCGTTAAGCATTGCACAGTCTTGTGGATCGTTTTGCTCGGTGTGGTATGTACGCTGAAGCATCTGGCCAGCAGGGCACAGCGTGGGCTGACAGAACTTAGACCAGCTGGTGGGCCCCGAAGTACGTGGAGGCTCGTGGCGTAGACCGACGAAACTGGATAGCTCATGTGCGTGCG